AGACAATTTTAATTTTAGATCTCCAGCTAGTGTGCAGTTCCAAGAGTCTAGAGAGTCCATTTTAACTGGGGGATGTGGACCCAAAGTTCAAGTTCTTGAAGTTTGGCTGCCTTCTGGGTTATTAGGCATATCTGGTATCGTCCTGCCAGAGAGGTTCAAGGGCAGTCTTTGTTCTTAAGGATTCCAACTCAGAAAGGGTGGGAGAAAATTGAAAATGTTAGTCTGGAGACTTGTAGCCAGATATTTGAGGATGCTGGTAGAATCAGGGTCTAGTTTGGTTTATAGATATATAACAAAACCTCAAAGACAATAAATGGAACTAGAATCTGATATCCACAAAACTATTATAATTTTCTACTGAAATATATTTTTCCCCTCACAATCACCCTCAATTCTGTAACAGAGAAAACATGAGCTTATCCGACTTATAGTGAATCTAGGTCAAATCAAAGTATCATATTCAGTGTTTATAACTCTAAAGACATTCCTATTGCAATTAAACCAACAAAATTTAGTTTTTATCTTAGATCATGTGAACTTGAAAAACATTTGTTTTAGTTTCTTTATTTCTGAGAGCACACTTAATTAATTTAAAATTTTGTTTGTCCTCAAGTAAGTTAAATAGAACTCTTGACAAATTAGTTTTGGCAATATCATTCAGAGGCAGAAAAATTTCACACAACTATAACATACATACAAAGGCATACAGACACATTGATTTTATATTTTTTGCTTTAAAATGTTATCCATGAGGTGCAATAATGCAAAACTCTGGTTTATAAAAGAATGGCTGGTTGTATTTCTGGCAGAAAGAATAAGTTAAGATTACATGTCAGATGGCTAAAGCTTTTACTAATATTTGTGGAAAAGGCTTGAGACTTTTCATTCACCTTGTTTCCAAATAGTTTAATTTATTTTTTCTCTGATAAAAATTCTTTCATAACTTTGCATTTCAAGAGATGGAGCTGGGTTCCTAAGGAAGACCAGGTAGAACATTTACATCTCAAAGGACAGAGAAAGGCTGTAAATTTCTCCAAAAGGACTTTTGTTTCCAAAATTCAAATGTTTTACAACATCTACAAGCCTTTTGAGATAAATAGGGAAGTTTGGGGGGGTTGGTAAAAAGATAGGTAGACTTTGAATTGTTGCTAGAGCTGCATTTCTGTTCTGGTAAAGACTCAATTGTAAAACAAGTACAATTGTTTTAATTCCTCAAAGAATTGGGTTGTAATCTAAATAATTTCAAGAAGCTGACCCTGCCATCCAACCTTGAATTATCTGCAATTTCCTCTTTCATTTCTGGGAGAAGACTTCCAACAAAAATGGAAATCAAAAGACTCCAACATTCTAGATTTAGAGCCATATTTCTTTGGAATGTTTAGTAACCCTTCCACAATGGCTTCAGAATGGTTTTCTTTCCCTCTGGGTACGTAGTTTCATTTTAGCTTAGTTCAGTTCAGTTCAGTTCAGTTGCTCAGTTGTGTCTGACTCTTTGCAACCCCATGGACTGCAGCGTGCCAGGCCTCCCTGGCCATCAACAACTCCCAGAGTTTATTCAAACTCATGTCCATTGAGTCGGTGATGCCATCCACCCATCTCATCCTCTGTCATCCCCTTTTCTTCCTCCAACACCACAGGTCAAAAGCATCAATTCTTTGGCACTCAGCTTTTTTTATAGTCCAACTCTCACATCTACACATGACTACTGGAAAAACCACAGCCTTGGCTAGATGGACCTTTGTTGGCAAAGTAATGTCTCTGCTTTTTAGCTTAACCACATTTGTATCTGGCCATATTTTGGGGCCCTACAATCTGATGGTAGCCAGGTCAACCTCTCAGGATACACAGTGAGACAGGAAGGAAATAGCTGCCCCTGGGAGAGAAAGGGTCAATAATCAATTTTTTTCCTTGCCAATCTAAATTTGGAAAAAAAGGGACTATGTAAGATTTTAGCTGCTTCTTTTGTTGACTTAAAAAACCATCCCAACCTAAAAGTTGAGTCAGTAAAGTCAAGTAGAAGCATGCAAGTATATTCACAGGCACGGAGGATCCATGTTTAAAACAGTTAAGGTAACTATGATGCAACACCAACAATTTGACTGGCCCTGACACACCCAAAATATAATCTTAATTTTTCAATGAAATCCTGAAGAAAACTCTTGCTAGTTTTGGTATACTGCTAAACACTAAAGTAGTATGTTTTTTCCATGGTTTTAGATTAGCTCAAAGAATTTTTACACTATTAAGTAAGAAAAAAATTAAAGTATTGCCCCTTTTAAAATTTATATAGACTTTTAATTAGCCTTATTTATGGAGCAGGAATTTCTTTCAGTCGCCAGTGTTGCCTAGACAACATCATCAAGCAAGAATGCCAGTTTAAAAGAATTCTATGCCATGCACATGCGTGCTCAGTCTTTTCTGACTCTCGGTGACCCCACAGACTGTAGCCTGCTAGGCTCCTCTGTCTGTGGAATTTTCCAGGCAAGAATACTGGAGTGAGTGGCCAGTTCCTCCTCCAAAAGTTGAGAGTTATGTTTTTTTTTGGTGGGAAGTTTTAGAATTTCAAGCCTGGGAAACAGCATCTCAAGTAACTCTGAGAACTACTCTGAGGAGAGCGGGGGAAGAGCCAGATTATATAGAAGTTTCACATAAAGGGCAGGTAATCTGAACATCAAAGTATTATTGTTCTGCCCATAGCCAAAATGACACCAGCTGAGAAGTTGCCTAAATTCAAGAAGTTGAGGAAGCTGGTCTGGAAGCTGCTGAAAGAGAGCAGTGAGGAAGGAGTATGGTGGATATCATTGAAAGACTCTGGGAGGATGGGATCCAAAAGTGCATGATACAGGAGGGCCAAGGAAAGCTCCCTGACTTTCAGGATGGAACCAAAGTCACGTTCCACTAGCAGACTCTTTGCATTGATAAGGAGAACACCATGCTGGATGACAGCCAGCCATGCGGCAAGCCCGTGGAGCTCATCATTGGCAAGAAGTTTAAGCTGCCCCTGTGGGAGACCATCCTGCATAACATGTGGGAGGGGGAGATTGCTCAGTTCTGCTGTGATGTCAAGCATGTGGTCCTATATCGGCTATTGGCCAAGAGTTTACACAACATTGCAGCCAGCAAGGACCTCCTGGAGGGCATCACCCAGATGCAGGAGCACAATTCCTTGGGCCATGCTGATCTGGATGCCCTGTAGCAGAAGGCCCAGCCTCTCATCTTTGACATTGAGATGCTTAAGGTGGAGTATCAGAAGTGCTGGACTACTCCTCCATCCTCAATAAGTATGATGACACTGTCAAGGCCTACTTCAACTACAGCAAGGCACAAGCAGCAGCGTGGAACACTCAAGAAGCCCAGGCTGACTTTGCCAAGGTGCTGGAACTGGGACCCACCCTGGCAACTATGATGAGCCCTGAGCTATGGATCTAGGAGCAGATCTAGCTGTGAACTGTGCCTTTAAGCGCAGATCCTTCAGAAAGACAAGGAGGACAAGGCCTGCTTCCGGGGCATCTTCTACCACTGACAGGGCCCTGCTGGTGTGGTCACCCTGTCTGGCCTGCTGCTGCTGCTGACAGCCCGCTCACTCGCCCCCACTGACTTATGCTTCTCTGTATGTGTGCTAAGTCGCTTCAGTCATGTCTGACTCTTTGCCACCCCGTAAACTATAGCCCACCAGGCACCTATGTCCTTGGGGTTCTCCAGGCAAGAATGCTGGTGTGGGCTGCTGTTCCCTTCTCCAGGGGATTTTCCCGACCCAAGGATCGAACCTGGGTCTCATGTCTCCTGCAGTGGTAGGTGGGTTCTTTACCACTAGTGCTACCTTAACTCCACTTACTACTAGCTCTTCTCTGTATACAAAGGCCTTATTTATCTCTTAAAAAAAATTATTGTTAAAGAAAACCAGATATCCCAAGTTAAGGAATTTAGTGCTTGTCTATGTATGGGAAGCTACAAGAATCTGTCTCACTGAAATCATTCCTTTCATAGCGACCTCACCTGGTACTCTGTGTTTTTCACATCCCGAGCTCATTTGGAGCTTACTATAGGGAGTGGCTGCAATCTGATGGCAAGGAGGTATTCTTCATCCTGAGTGCCCTTACGACTCACCAGCTCACATTGGAGGGCTGTAATCGCCGACAACTGTGACATCCCTGTCTAGTGATATGGCAGGAAATATTTTATTTCACACTAGGCGCCACAGAGAGAGATCTAGGGGAGCTGACTTTGGTAAGAATGCTCATCCTTTGCTGACTTCTGCAGTTTTCTCAGTATCCCATCTGCAGGTCTCATCCTGGTCACCAGAAACTATAAGGGAAGAAAAGGAGTTTCCCCTCTATTCTCTTTAGTAAGTGCTTGAGTGAAACTCCTTTGTCTCTAGGGCAACTGTGTAAATGGATAAGCCTGTCTAAGATGATTAAAATTTCTCCACTGGTGTACACTGTAATTCAATATTATCTTTGGTAAAGTTAACCTACTTGCTGCTGCTGCTGCTGCTGCGTTGCTTCAGTCATGTCTGACTCTGTGTGACCCCATAGACAGCAGCCCACCAGGCTCCCCCGTCCCTGGGATTCTCCAGGCAAGAACACTGGAGTGGGTTGCCATTTCCTTTCCCCAATGCATGAAAGTGAAAAGTGAAAGTGAAGTCGCTCAGTTGTGTCTGACTCTTCATGACCCCATGGACTGCAGCCTACTAGGCTCCTCTGTCCATGGGATTTTCCAGGCAAGGGTACTGGAGTGGGTTGCCTTCTCCATTGACCTACTTGTTTAGCCTCAAAACAATTTTACTCACCTGAGGCCTCACACTGCATCCAATCCAGTTTTACATTGGACCCAGTCCAGATTATCTCCCATTTCTAAGCTGAATTTAGCCTGATCCCAGACTCAATCTAACTCTGGCCAGCTTCTGAACCCTATCCAGAAAAACAAATGCTCAAATAAAGTCTGAAAGCTCATAATTCAAAAGCTGTGGAGCTTGGATCCAGGATCCAGAAAGGACTTACCAATCATTTCCAGAGACAGTGAAATCAAGGGGCTCATGAAGTCCTATGCCTGGTTGCTCATTGCTCTTGGGGGCCATTGGGGGTCTCCTTTGGTTCCCTTTTTGGACACCAGATCTGTTAAAAGATAAGCAAATGCATATTAAAAAAATATAAGAGATTGCACAAAAATGGATTCCATTATGGTCAATGCCAAGCTGGAAATTGTTAGAGGTGCGCCCTATTACTGTAGTCACATTTTTATTATTGAAAGCAAGCAGGCCCCTGTAGGGGCTACTGGGCACAGGGAGACTTTCTGTTCCACCTCCATAACCTTCCCTGGGTTCTGAAGGGCAGATTCAAAACGTTGCTAATCCAGGAAGGGAAAGGATTAAGAGTCAAGGGTGGAGCAGCCAAGAAATGATAGTACAGCTTTGGGGCAGGGTCCTGGTTCCACCTCAAGGGACACACATAGCAATATCCTTAATCCCATTTATAGGATTAAAACCCAACAATGGGAGGTGTCAGCATTCTCCATAAGGGAGAAGACTACTTGAGGCCAGTCTGATGGAAACACAGAAGCTCATTAAGAAGAACTCACACCCTTATCTTATCTGCAATTTTGCCCTTGAATTATTGCTATAAAATTCTTCCTGAGATCCTCCCTAGCTGGGAAACAGCTTTCAAGGACAGGAGCCCTTTGTGTCCCCTTTAACTTGGCATAACAATAAAGTGATTTTTTTCTACTTCACCCAAAATTCCATCTCTCGGATTTCATTGGGCACCAGTGTGCAGAAAGGCTGAGTTTTCATCATCACTACTGACAGTATTGCCCTGTTTAGTTCACTCACTTTAGTCATCAAACTTGACTCAAGAGCCTGAACTTTTGTCAGTAGAGAAATTTATGAAGACCTGGTGTAAGTAATTCCAAAGTATTCTATTTAGCAGCTTCCTCTCTGGAATGGCTATGTGCCTCCTCTTCCACCCCAGGATAGCTTAGATTTAAAAGTGGGAAGAAGGAAGCTCAGTGATGAATATAAATCACTTTTATGTAATCTTCACCAAAGTCTTATGATGCATGTATTATCCTTGTCATCTAGATGAGGAAGCAGAATCAAAATGTTTAAGTGATTTAAATCCCTTAGAACTAGTGTAGAATTGGGACTTATCTGGCACTGAAGCTCTACTCTTTCTTATACTTCCTATTATTTCCTTCCATGGTGACAACCTCATTTTGGAATGATAAGTTCTGTTGTGTTTGTGAAAGTTTACATTACTTTTTAATTATGTCACATGCATTATCTATGTAACCCTGGGCCAGTGCATAGGAGACATTTTCTAATAATCTGTTTGTGATTATGTGGCCTTGAGCAATGAGGAAAGGGAAAGAAATGCAATTTTTTTATGCATAGCAAGTGCTGTGATAGGAAGCCAAATAAAACTGGGCACTGTTGACAGTAATGATGTTTTACCTCCTAGTGTTATAAAAATTTGCCTCATTAAACAAGATCAAACAAATGAGCCAATAAGAAGAAAGCCTCTTTTCTAACAAGCAGGCTTTAAGAGAAAGTAAGCCAATGAGAAGTGAGTTTCTGGTGTCAATGTAAAAACTTTGGGGAAGATGAAACAGAAAAGATTCAGGCCTCTACTTCAAATGATGAGCTTGAAGACAAAAGAATCCATATGAAGTCCTGGTTCCAGGATGAGAAGTTTAGGTGGTATGCATCCTGCTTGCTTAAATGATTTGACTTTTGAAAAAACAGAAGTAGGAGATATGTAACAATCTACATGTAGTTCAAATGAATAATCTTTGCATGTATCACCAAAAACTTCTAACATGTATACACTACTTACTATGTACCAGGTAGGGCAACCACATCATACTAGTTTGCCCAGGACATCTCAGATTTAGCCTTCCCCGGTGGCTCAGATGGTAAAGCATCCGCCTGCAGTGCAGGAGACTGGGGTTCGATTCCTGGGTTAGGAAGATCCCCTGGAGGAGGGAATTGTAACCCACTCCACTATTCTTGCCAGGAGAATAACACAGACAGAAGAGCCTGGCGGGTTATAGTCCATGGGATCATCTCTTAGTAGGTATACTAAAGGAAGTTCTCCACTTTTGCCAAAGTGTTAGTTGCTCAGTCCTGGTCGACTCTTTTCGAGCCCATGGACTATAGCTGGCCACCTTTGCAATAGGGTAATACCTGGTCTGCAAGCACTGTGGACATAACTTGCTTGGGGAAGTGACACCTCGTCTCCCACCATTATTTTGACTTCACTCAGAGCAAACCTCAGCTCTCTTACTATTGGATTGAGTGTTCATTGTCTGTTTGATATGGCCGTCCTCCAATTAAAATGTATACACTTGTAGAGGCTCTCGGATTTTATTTTTGCTTCTGTCCTCATTTGCACTAATGAATGCCTTCTGTGGTAGCATGGGTGCCATCTCCCAGGGGTCACGTGGAACCAGGCCTTGATGAGCCTGGGAAGGACTGGCCAGGCTCTTTTTGCTGCTTTGGCCACCTGGAATGCTTCTATTTTTCAGCTCAATTTACCAGCTCATGCCCACCTAGGCTCAACAAAGGCCGAGTGAAGGCAAGATGCCCTGCTTTCTGAAGCTTTTGTTGCTCTCCTTGTCCTTTGATGTTGATTGAGAGCTGCCTTATTCCAATAGGAACCCTTTGCCTCTCTCTGACTTCCTACCTCTCCCACCTTCTCCGAGGATTTAAATAGATCATAGCCAGAAGTTAATTGAAGATAAAAGTTTACAGTTAAGCCGGCAGGTTGTAGCACAATATCTATATAATCTAAAGTAACTGGGGCACTCTCAGGGTCATTGAAATGAACAGAGGTATTCTTCCAATGCATTTTTTAAATGTAGATAAATTTTGTGTCATATAAAATGCATTATAAAAGATTCCAATTGAGTCATTGGATTAAATGAACCTTTCAACACCTCTCAGAGGAAAGGAGATTGTATTTGGTATGATGAAATAGTCACTGCTTGGCTTCACACTTAGGTGATGCAGTGATCATCAGGGAAGAATTTACTTAAAACAAAAAAAATAAAAGAAATAAACTAATGAATCCCTGACTTTGTATCAGATATTATTATTTTTAAAATCATAACTTCCAAGATATTCTCAGGAAGAAAAATGATATTTAAAAGCTCTTCTGTCCTTTGACCCATTATTAAGATAGTATCAAATCCTCCCCAGTACCCAATATCCACTGCAGCCTATTAAAAAATTGATTACTCATATGCTAAAAGCTGTCTGGATTTCTCATCACTTTAGTAGTTATGTAAATTCTGCTAAGGTTAAGATTAACAGGAAGCCAGAAGCCAATCTCGGACCAGTGAACTAATGCAGAAGAATGAGAACAGATATGATTAGTATATTAGCAAGGGTTTATTTCTCTTCATTCTTTGGTTATCTTTATTCTGAAGCTATGTTTTAGAATACTATTTAAGAGCTTCTGTTTGCAATCCACTTAGATTGTCTCGTATTTGTAGGAGAGTTTAAGGTCACTCTTAGAGATACTCCATTTCATTTGAATAACATTGTACTATTACCTTTAGTGGAGAAGGCAATGGCACCCCACTCCAGTACTCTTGCCTGGAGAATCCCATGGAAGGAGGAGCCTGGTGGGCTGCAGTCCATGGGGTCGCTAAGAGTCGGACATGACTAAGCGACTTCACTTTCACTTTTCACTTTCATGCATTGGAGAAGGAAATGGCAACCCACTCCAGTGTTCTTGCCTGGAGAATCCCAGAGATGGGGGAGCCTGGTGGGCTGCCGTTTACGGGGTCACACAGAGTCGGACACGACTGAAGTGACTTAGCAGCAGTAGCGGCATTACCTTTATAGAGAATAACTACTGAGAGACTATTGGAAGGTGGAGATATTGAATACTATCCTTCAAACAGAGAAGGAACTTTAAGGCTGAGAACAGTGAAGCAGGCAACTTCATGAAGGCAGTTATGAAGTTTACTGTGGGTAACTAACATACAGGCAAGACTGAGTTGAGAATGATCCAGAGAGTACCCTGAAATGGGTATGTGTGCATGCTAAGTCGCTTCAGTGGTGTCTGACCCTTTGCAACCCTTGGACAGGTGTCCAAGGAATTCTCCAGACGAGAATGGTGAAGTGGGTTGCCATGCCTCTTCCAGGGGATCTTCCTGACCCAGTACAGAGGGACTTAAAGGGGCCAAAACTAAAATAGAATCTGATTGCTAAGGAAGAAGCACATCTGCATGACAAGAACCAGGGGGTTTTCCTTCCACTGAGGGTCTCATGATTGTTAACCTTCTGGTTTTCATATCAAATAAAGGCAAGGGTAAAAGCTGATAAGACTTGGATGCATTTCTTATGAGGATGTTAATGCTCAGCCACTCAGAAGGGAAGGCACAGTGGGTCTAAGAAGGAGCTGACAAAATGGTATTAGTGTGGGCCAGCCACATAGAGACATCCCTAATCTTGCACTGCTTAAATCCCAAAGTCCACTTCTCTCGTGCCTTTGGCTACCCTCATTTCACCTGCAGACTCTTTTTGTGTCTTGACCTTCCCACTGATTAGTGTGTGGCATCCTCAGTTTGCTTTTCAATTTAAAGGTAATATTTCACTCAAGTTTTCTTGTTCCTCACTTGTGTATCTGTACCATGATTATTTTTCTTAAAATTTAAAGTATCTAAGTGTAGGGGCCTCACACCTGCTAAATGATGCTCTTGGATGGTAATGATGATAAACTAAAAGAAGTAAGACATCAAATTTGTATATGTTAAAATAGTTACAAGAAACATTGAAATCTTTGCATACAATTTATATTATCATGTATAGCAGAGCTTCTTGAAAACAGTATCATAGATGCTAAAAAGTTAAAATTTATAATCATTTTTTTTTTCTTCTTGGAATCTTCCATTCAATTTTTTATTGAGCAACTACACTGTACTTCATACTGACTTTAGCAACCCCAAGTAGTCTTTTTATTTCAGTCTTGGATAGAATCCCAGATTTTCATGCAAGCCCCAGGGGTGAGGTGGAAGAGTAAATTATTAATAGTAAATTATTCTGGCATGCTGAGAGTTGCTGTCACAGAGTGGAGGTGACCTTGCAGCTGAGTCTCACATGATAGACCAC